CCTCACCTGTAGAACAGGGGTAATACTGCCCACTCACGGGACTGTTGCTGTGGAGTTTAAATGAAATCATTTTTAAATGTCCCTGGGACATTATGGGTCTGTCAATGTCGACTACTTACTTCCCCTTAGTAGAGATCAGGTCTTACGTAAATTCAGAAAGAATTCTTTGTGAGGAAGTAGAGAAAAGTCGCTCTCTTAAATCGTTAGAAGTTAGGGACCTACCATCACGTCTGCCCGTCACCTAGTGATGGCCGTCACAGTTTTGCTCAGTTTTGAAGTTTTACAAGTCATGCTCACCTAGATGCTACCTCACTCAGTCCCAAAGGGTTCCCAGGAAATGGGCAGAACGAGCGTCATTTTCATTTTATAGAAGCAGGGACTGAAGTTCAGACAGGGTAAGGTAACTTCCTAAAAGCACACTTCCGCGATCAGAGCCCACGTTTCTTGCCGCTAATCCAGTGCGTCTCTCAAGTCCCTGAAGCTGCTGGTCCCTCTGCCTGTCACAGCCTCTTTTTCTCCATTTTTTTGGCTTTAACTATTTCAAGCTTTAATGGGGTATGTATAATTGATATTAAAACGCATACATTAATGTACACACCTTGATGAGTTTGCACTCATGTATGTACCTGTGACACCCTCACCCCAGTGAAGGTAGTTCATATCCCATCACTTCCCCAAAATGTCCTGCGTTCTTTTGTTTTTCACTTTGTTCATTTTTTTCTGGCAGCAACACTTGACATGAGACCCTTTAGTTCACTAGCTCCTCTGAACCCTCCAGGTTTCAACTCGTTGTCCCCTCCCGCGCCCCTCCACCACCTCCACCACGTGCCCTCACGGCATCTTGGACGGTCCCCTGCAACAGACTCATTGTCCCCTACTGCAGGGTTCTCAGGCCTGGGTGTCCAACAGAATTACCTGAGACCTTTTCAAAATAAGAAGAGATTTTTAGTCCCAAGACTTCCTTGATCATGCATAGTTTTAAAAGTCCCCCCATGAGTCTGATGCACAGAATCTCCCTTGCTAGAGTGTCACCCTGTACGGGCAGCATCCAAGTCTCTCTGGACATCATTAGGACTCCAGCACCTTAAACAATATCTGGCAAGACTATTAAATTATTATTAATGATAACCTTTCCTGAGTGTTTGCTCTACACCAAGCACTATGATAAGTAATTGACGTATATTTATTTTGGCTCCTATGCCCACCATCCTAAGGAAACAGCTATCATTATTTAAAAGAGGAGGAAATGGAGGCTTGGAGAGGGGCTTGGAAAACGTTTAGTAAATGCCTCAGTGACTATTTTCAGCTGGAGCACCTGGTACAGCAGCGCACTCTGGGTTTCCTACCTGTTTCCAGGCTAGTACAAAAATCTTTCCCAGAAATCACCCAGCACTTCCTCTTCTTCATGGAAGTAGGTCACACCGTCACCGTTGGCTTAAAAGAAGCCTGGAAAAGAGAGTAACAGCCAGGGTGCTTTCAGCTCCACCTTAGGAGGTAGAATTTACCAGCAAGTCAAAGGTGAGAAAGAAAGGGCTGGTGCTCAGCCAGCTAACAGTCCCAGCCCCAGCCGTCCTTAATTTAAAACACCTGACTGTTAATCTAAGCTGGCGTCTCCTCCAGAATGGTTTTAAAACATTTTCTCACGGTGAATGACATTTTGGGAGAGGAACGTGTCCGCTCGAGGGACCCGAGGTGACTACACTGTCGAGAGTTAGAGGTTTGGGTGACAAGGACATCTGATGGTGCTCAGTTTTCTCCTCTCCCGTTTCTAGGTCAACGGTGATCTCGTTTACATCACAGCCAAGAAAGACGGCAGTCACGTGGTGGAGACCGTTGATACCACCCACATTGGGAAATTAATCGTGACCAAACAGATTGGAGGCGATGGCATAAAGGACATTACTGATACCTACAAATTCCAGGAAGGTGAGTTTCTGCTGCCGAGTGAAGATTTCTCTGCCCAAGTCCTATTGGTGCTTTGGGAGCAACAGTCACTGTCGCCATGAAATGTGTTCCAGACAGGACAGGGGCACGTGCAGCACTGGGGAGTTAGGACAGACTAAGCTTCCGTGAGTGACTCACATCACACCCGCAATTTTTCATTTCATTTTCATTTCACCTGTTAGTTGGCTTTGAGCAGAATTCCCCTTCACGTGGCTTGTGAAGATGGCTGGTTTAAAGTCACATCTATTTTAACAATGTGGAAAGTGTTCTTGTTCATAAAAATACGAAAGGACCTTAATTTTAGATAATCTCATTAGAAAACATTACATAACAAGTGTAATTTAGTTCAATAACAGAAACATGGATAACCGCCCACACCTGCTTAGCTCCTCACAGACTGCCTCCGCGTGCGCCCCTGAAGTAGCTTGGCGCGCCCTTGGGGCTGGTAGCGCGGTAGCGACGGGACACTGCAGTCTCACTGGTTCGGGCGCGTTAGTCTGCAGTCCTGTTTCAATCATAAAACGATGTTAAGGTGGTCTTGTCAACATCTAGTGCGTGGAATGTTTCGAACGGAGCTGCCGAGTTCAAGCCCGTCTCACGCCGTGCTGAGTGCCTGCTCTCAGCCTGGAACTGAGTTTGGTGCTGGGGACCGCCGCAGGGAGCAGGATTCAGTCTGCGTCCCTGGCCGAGTGATGGGCTCAGGATGCTGAGGGGGCTTTGACAACAAAGAAGAGGGACACAGTCCAACCAGGGGATTCAGAAAAAGCAAAGCCCAGTAAGAGAAGACACAGGCCACAGTTAAAGGAAGATGGGAGGCGGGAACACGACCAAAAGCAGCTGGTGTGTTTAGGGCCCTGCAAGCATTACAGAAGCTGTCAGCTCACAGCGCCTGGCGGCTGGAGTCAAAGCTCCCTGGGGTCAGTAGTGGACAGGAGGTGGAGGACCTTGGATGTCTCGATGGGGATGTAGAATGTATTTTATAAATGTTTCACCAACAGAGCTTCTGAGGAATGGCATTTGTTTTAGTGAATGGATAAAAATGGAGAGTAATTAGCATATGCGTAAATATTCATCAGTATTCCTGAAATGCTGAGTGCAGAATTTGTTTTAAATATTCTAGATCTTCTCCCTGCTCTTATTTATAAAAGCAATTTGCACTACAAAGAGAAAGTTTGCTGAAATGAGAACTCTAGCGCATGGCATGAGAGATTCAGGATTTCTGTCATCTGAACTAGTGAATTTTTGCTGTGTTTCTGAAATGGGTATTTCTTCTCTCCTGTTGGTTATCACCCACTGCGCAAGGTAGATACCAAAGACTTTTTTTTTTCCTTTTTGGATTTTTCCTAAAAAGAGAGTTTTTAAAACCATAAGCACAATAAAACAAAACAAAGAGGCAGTGCCCTCTGGCTAGAGTTAGAGGCGAAAGGTTTGCAGAGGAAGAAGGGAAGTCCGCAGCAGGAGGGAAGGGAACTGGCTGCAACAGCCGTCCTCAATCACTTGCCGTTAACCGCCCGCCACATTCCAGACGCCGTGTAGGGACGGAGACGCGCACAGCCCTGCCTGCCCATCTAGCCGGGGAGACGGGCAGGAAGCAAGCCCTCCCCAGGCTGTGTGACGGCTGCCCAGAGCAGGGCTGGGTGGGCAGAAGCTCAGGGCCCCTGGGTGGGCTCCCTGTATCTAAAGGGTAAACGGAAACATGGCGATGACACTTTCCCGTGGAAAGTCTCCAGGAAAAGGCAGCAGGACAGGGACTGTGGATAAACTCTCCGTGTGTGGACGAAGTCCTGAGCAGACAGTGTGTAGAACAAGAGCGGGCCTCCAGGAAGCCGTCCGAGTGACCCGTTATCTCATCCAAACCACGCAGCAGGACGCCCTCCACCGTCAGCCTCGGAGGTGGACGTGGAAGCCAAATCAGGCTCAGATGTCAAGAGAGGCAGGACCCAAAACCCCGTGAAAGAGGAGTCAGGAGCTGGGCCAAGCGAGAACCCTGGATCAAAACAAATAATACGTCCCAGCTCTGAGTGAGGAAGACATCTGAGGTCCAAGCCTCCGGAGTCTGGCAAGAAGGCAGGGCTCAGAGAGGCAGGCAGTGTGGGGGTCAGGTCCAAGGAAGAGCCCCGAAATCCGCATGGTTTTAGGAGACACCCCATCCTGCACCTGGGCTGGAATTTGCCAGGTGTGCGTTAGCCTCTTAATCAAGGATGACGTTTTCTGATGTGGGGAATGACGAGTGAGTGCCATTTGAGAAGGATGCTGGGCTTGCCTCTGAATATGCTGGGAAGGAGTGGATGGGTACTGATGCCCTCCACGGGCACCTAGGAAAGTCTGCCAGCATCCTCTGCCACCCTGACTCTCCTTACTGAATCCCGTGTATAATTTCTCCATCCACATGTGCTGAGTGTGGCCGCTAACAAGTTGGGAGGAGTGAAAACATAAGGAAAAAAATTATGACCAGATTTAGGAATTTACTATTTTAATTAATGAGACAGTGGAAAGGTCGTTTTTCACTGTGAGGAACTAAAGCTTAATGGGAATTTTATACCTGGCTTTAAAGCATAAGATGATGAAAACTATAAAATTTTGAAAACCCGAGTTCTTAAAACTTCTCCTGCGACAATAGGGCTTCTTTTATGGTGGCGTCTGGGTCCTGTTCCCTCTCTGCTCTGTCAGTTATTCCCTCTGTCGCTTGTAGTTTCACCTCTCCTTCCCACGTTGCCTGTGTTAAAAAAATTTTTTTGTTAAACTCTTTTCCAGAAATGTAGTTCCCACCCCTGCCCCCAGGTGGTGCTCTCCCCCGCGTTCCCCGCTCCTCACGCAAAGGGCTGAGCCAGCGTCTGTGATGGACGCGTGCGTGGTGGTCCCTCTTCGCTTGTCCCCTTAGACCCGTGCGAGGAGGGCTGTGCCTTTCGTCTGAGCCTGGCGCAGTGCCTGGACAGCACAGGGGCTCCTCTGGCGTGAGACGATCAAAGGAACGGAAGTGCAGGTGCACTTTCACAGGCGAGCTTCGCTGGGCATCGTCTGTCCCAACCTGGACTGTTCAGTGTCTGTTATAAAGACAAAAGCTTCGCCTCTGGGTGACAGCCAAGTGCTTCCCCAGACCTCCATCCTCCAGGGCCCCCTCTGTGCCCGGCTGGGCCCTCGGTCCTGGGCACACGGAGCTTATGTTCTCATGGGGGAAGTGATGTCACAGCCACAAGTACTGGGAAAAGGGAAGAAGACCAGGTAACGTGTTAGTGAGAGACGAGGGGACCGGGGCTGGGGACACCTTACACTGGCAATGGGAGTGGGGGTGGGGCACTGAGAAGGTGATGCTTGAGCTAAGACACAAACAAGAAGAGGCTTCATCCGACCTGAAAGGCAACTGCATCACCCTCACTTCACCCAGTGACTGGAGAGGGGGCTTTGACCTTGCTCCTGGAGGCCCCAGAGGAGCCTCGGAAAATGTGACCTGGCTTTAGGGCACTCCCTCTGAGCGCTAAATTCACGCCCCGGGATTGGGTGAGACAGCAGAGCACCGGGCACGACCGCAGGGAGCGGGGAGTCCGCCCGGCCCGGGAAGCCCTGCCGTTCCCGCTCGCAGGGACCGACTGGTCCCAGAGGGCAGCTGGAGGTTCCCGCATCTACGACACGCAGCAAAGTGGCTCCAGCGCCGGGAGCTCCCACGGCCCCTCCACCGTGTCCACCAGCTCAGCCCTCATCCCCTGCCCGGGGACGCAGCTCTCCCACCACGGTCTCGCTGCTGGTGCTCACCTCCTGAGATGTCGCCTAATTGCATCTCTGAAGCGCGTCCAGAGCGATAACCATTAATGCTCGCTTTCTCGGCGAGCTATTTGCCAGATGCTTCCTGCTAAACTACCTCACTGCCCTTTCCTCGTCACAGCCCCTCCCTCCCCTTAGTAATAGCTCCCGCTTATCGATTGTAAACACGTGCTGCAGCCAACGCTTGTCCTGGACCATTTGTTTCTGGCACATTCTTGCAGCCTGGACAATGACAGAAATTATTAATACACACACACAGAAATACATAATCACGTTGCTTGCAACACCTGCTGGCGTTTTCTCTGTCTCTGCAAAGTCCCTGTAGCTGCCAATTCTTCTGCACGTTCAACCTCTAAACCACCTACCAACCCTCCTGTGTAGTTGCCCTTACTTTGCAAACAAGGGAACTGATGGTAATCGTAGTGCCTGCCTTGGAGAGACGTCCCGAGGACTCGACGCACCTGTGCACAGTGCGCACCTCCCACGACACCTGTCAGAGTCAGCTCTCAGGGAGGCTTGTCGTCATTATTAACTCACCTCGTCTCACTGCATTTTGTTATTATTTAAGTAAAGTGGGAGATAACATCATAAAAATTCATGTAACTATGAAAGCCAGCATGTTTATTTCTCAGGGATTCTGTCTTCACTAGCCACTCACCGGACTAGTTTTCACAAGCCAAAGAACTTACCTCTCCGTCTTCCACGATGCACAGAAATGTATCAGGTGGATTCTGGGTGTAGGTCCTATTGAGGAATCCAAACTGGAGTCACCAGCAGCAAGCTCTGAGCCCCGACTTGTACCTGTATTTCTCAATTCCTCACCTGCACAAAGCTACTTTTTTTTTTAATTGAA